GCAACATCCCCCCAAAAACACGAAGAGTAAAGTCCTGGCCCCTAGCCCTGCCAGTGTAGCAGAAATGATGAGGATGATGATGCAGCAGCAGCCGTTCTTCTCTGCGTGAGTAGCTTAATGTTGTTCGTGTGTAATTTACGTTGAGTAGGCTAACCACGTTATTACATTAATGCAGGTAAGGTGAACTAGCAAACATCATCATAGCTACATGCGGCTGTCTGCTTGTTTGATGGCAGACGCTCCCTTCACCCTGGCCAAAAAAGGCTAAAATGACCAAAGAAAAAGTGGAAAACAGTTAAACATGAGAGGTTTAGGACAAAGTTTGTGTTTTGTTTTTTTTTTGTTTTTTTTCCCCCCCATTGTTTAAGCACTGCTTCCAGCCAAGAATGATACCATATATGCCCCATAGCTGCAGAAAAGGCTAACATTGTTATCTTTTTACAAAAAAAACAGCTGAACATGAGAGGTTTTTGGACCAATTTTGTGTTTGAGCACCGTTTAAGCACCGGCACAGTTTCAAAAGTACCGGTTTGGCACCGGTATCGGATAAAACCTAAACGATACCCATCCCTACACATGACAATAAGAATAAAATGTGTTTCTGTCAATTTGTGCAGATCTTGACTCATCAGTAATGTTTGTAGGGTGAGTGCATTTTTAAAACAATTTGTGCAAACTGCACTACAAGGTGGATTATTTGCGAAATCATGACTACCTCATGATATTTTGTCTCAAAAATGAACCCTATGAATATGGCAGTACCATTAGGATGAAATTATTGTGTTACCAACATTTTAACATTAGACATATAATTTTAACTTCCTCTGTAAACTAATATCCTGGCTTGCTCGAGGCTGCCGTTTTCTCTGACAGTTTTAATCAAAATTAGAAATGCTGCTCTGGGAGACTGAGAGAACTAATAGTGCCGCCTGTTGTGCAGTTAGTTTCCAAAACACGTTATTCATGGTTACATACAGTTTTAGACTGATGTGGGCCAAAGCCTAGCATAGCCTGTAACAGTATTACGACGGACACATTTTATGAGTTAATTTGGCTTTAAGTAACTTACAGGTTTCTTTGAAAAATACTTTCTTATATCCAGGTTCTTCCTTTTTGCTGCCATCCTCCTCTCCTCCTCGCAGCGCAGGCTTGCCGCTGCTAAAACTAAACAAAGCTCCCTGAAAGGCTCAGCCAATCATATTGGCCATATTTGTCACATGAGGTAGGACTCCAGTAGAGGACGTAATTTAACTCTTTCTGCACCGCTGGGTGAATGAGACGCTGACAGATCGTTTTTTTCTTTCGATCGGTTTTGTTTTTCTTTACTCGAAGAGATCAAATTATTGGTGGGACAATAATCGCTGGATATCGGTGGGGACACGTCCCTTCCGTCCATGCCAAATCTACGCCCTTGATGCTGTATCTAAAAATGGATCCTTAGAGACAACATTTGTTCAAGAATGGTACTGTTGGGTCTGTGCTCCAGCTGGTTCAGAAACGTATTCCCGTTAACAAAGCAAGACGAACAGCTCAACCGGTTTTCACATGCTAGCAAGGGGAACCGGACGGCAGCAGTCGGTGTCAAGCGAGTCCAAAGAACCAGCTTCCCCTGCAGCCTTTTATTTCTGTGACACACAGTTTACACAAACACTCATTGTAAAATCCCCCTATGGTGCATCATAAACCCTAAGGCACTGAGTGTGTATATGTATGTAAGTGCGTGTGTGTGTGTGTGTGTGTGTGTGTGTGTGTGTGTGTGTGTGTGTGTGTGTGTGTGTGTGTGTATTCATGTGTGCGTTTGTGTTTGGGGGTGCGTTTGTGTGACCTCCTGCTCACCAAAGAGTCATAAAGGCAGGAAGTTTACTAAGCAAGAAACCAGAACCTTCACATAGGATGTTCCTATAATAAAACACTACAGCCTCCCCCACCATTCAACAGGCTGGGAGGGGTCAGAAACAAAGGTCTTTGATCCCACCAAGAACCAAGACTTACAAATTTCAGTACAATAATGGCAACATTTAACAACCTAACAGGTACAGTCGTCAACGCTGGTGTTTACAACCTAATAAAAGATACACTTTTAGATATAGAACTTAAATGTTAAGCACTACATCTCACATTTGATGCCCTGCAGATTTTACATTAATATTTCTCACAAAACTTAAAGCTGCCACTCTTTATACATGCAAATGTGTATAAAGACACACAAAAACAGATCCTGTATTCACTCAGCCTGCAGGCCACCAGTGATTTTACAAACTTTGAGCATTACAGAGTTAACCCACAGCCTTGCACAGCAGTGATTTTGTGGCTCAATAAAGAGGCCAGAATCACAATCATTTTCATTTGGCCAATATTTGCACACAAACAAGGAATTTCTCCCAGGTTCACTTTGCAATCTTCGTACAACCCCCCCCCCCAGAAAGGTTTCATTACTGTATAAAATATATAAAAATATACAAACTATAAATGCAAAACGGAGTTTCTGAGGGCTTGTAATATTGATCCTGGTAATCTTTGTTTTTTCTAAAATGGTTCTGTTATCGTTTGCAAATAGAAAATATTTTAATTTTTTTGAGAAAACTATTGAAAATCCTTTGCTCTGTTGAAAAAATGCAGTTGGAAAGATTTAGACAAAAACTTTAAATTTGGTAAATGAGGCTAATAATCTTGTCCTCATCTATATTTGCCATGGCCTGCATGATGGTTATTGTTAGTTGCTGTAATTCTTAGGTGGAGTTGTTTGTTTTGTCCTGAAGTTTGAGTGTATGTTTTACTGGTTACTCTGTCTGCTTTGTCCCTGTTACAGTTTTATATTAAAACCGGAGTACTGGCAGCTGGCAGTGCTGTCAAACAAAGCTTTTGGGAAATACTTTCAAAAATTGAAATTTTCATTAGGGGACTAATAATTCTGTCCCCATTTGTACATATCCCGTCCATCATCACATGTTCGAACATGTCATTTCTTCTTCTTGTTGGTTTTGCTGGTTATCCTGTTCCATTTCTCCCTGGCTCTTTACTTGCTTGTTTTCCTTACATCCTTTGTGGATTTATTTGTTTGTGTGGACTCTTCCTTCTTGGAGTTTGCCACTACTTTTGGTTTACTTTGCGTCCCTGCCAGCAAACAACATTTCTTATCTTTACACAGTTTTCCTGCTTTTGCTTCCCTATTGATCCCAACACAGATCAAACTATTAACGAATGCTGAGAACGTGTAGGCGGTCCTCTGTATCGATCCATATTGATTTGACTAATGTGGCTTCTGTTGTATTTGTCGTTATAGAGCCAGCTTTAGGCCCCTGTGTTTGTATCTGTGATATATACTGACTGTAGTAAATAACAACCTCAAAGGCAGAAAGCTGAGCAAAGATCTGGGGAAGGTTGTTGTTTCTTTCTAATTAGACTTGAAACCACCTCAAGAAAACAGCTGGTCCCTTTGGACTGAGCAGCGTATCAACAGTGCTATAACAGAATTAACAAATGCTTAATTGGACAGAGTAGCTGTAGTCAGATATTAACCTCTTTCCACACAGATACTGAAATGCAAATTAATTTTGTTTAAAGGGTAACATTTTCTATTTTCTGAAATGTTTTACTTCAACCTAACCCTAAACCTGCCCGAGTGGTTTACTGGTGACCTCGTGGATCTCAAGAAGTTAGTGGTTAGATCGGTGAATTCCAATAACAAACCAAGCTCCCATAATGGACCAGGAGGAGCACAAGACATGGATCAAGTATGAAAAGTGCTTTGAATGTGCATTCTTTCTAATATAGGGGTGAATCCTGTGGTTGTGTTCCAGTCTTATAGAAGTCAGTGGGGAAAACTGTCCACCGTATCTTATCTTATCAGATTCGCACTACCGCTCTACCACTTGAGACAGCTGAAAGAGCCTTTACCTGGAAAAGTTCATTCATGGAATTCTGGTTGAGTATTCTTGTTTGTCCTTATGTGACATTAGGAAATCTGCTGCCACCCAGTGGATAACAAATTGCCTTAAAATGGGACTGCTCTCATTTCTAATGATTTTATTTTTTTTGACGTAAAATCCCACATGCTCAACTAAGCATCCGTGCACTGTTGCACATTCAGCAGCTGTAGTAGGAAGGTAAGAACATCCTCTCCTTGTATCACTGGCTGCTGAGCACAGGCAGCTGCTGTTCTCTGCTTAGATGTTTTTATTATCATATAACTGCTAATAACCACATACAGTTCTGCCACTTTATTTAAACCTCACTGTATAAATTATTCTTTTTCAGACACTTAGGGTATAATCTTTGTGATGCACTGGATCCTTTTTTTGTGTCCTGATAATTGGCACATAGAGACAAACTTTCTTATTATACTTTAAATCAGCCATTCCCAAAGTCAAGAGTGCTGTGGCCCACTTAAAATCCTATGGAGTCCAAGCGATATTACATCTCCACTAATCAAAATACAAGAAAAATTAATGTATTTCCTTAGGGAACAAAAACTATTCTAAAAACATAAACAGCACATGAACAATGATAACTCACACGCTTTACTGAAGTTGTGTTAGTAAATCATGCAATTCTTTCTGTCCTGTACACAGTTTGCGTTTCTCCACTGCAGTCTCGTCTTTCTTTTTTTGTGTGCAATAAAAATACATGTAATATCCATTTTCCTCGTCCGTGCACAGAAACTGAAATGGTCTGGTTGTAGCACAAGTCAGGCAGAAGAAAAAAGCATGGTTTGATGGTTAACCTTCTATACCTGGTATGTTACTGTAATATATTACTGCATTTAATACAGTTACACATGGTATTGCTGGCCCGCACTAGTAATCAGAAACGATCCTATTAACAAACACCTGTGTGATGATGTGGAAATCCACAGACGGAGTTTGGGGTGTATGTTAGTTTAACCATTGTGATTAGCTAATCAGGGCCGATTTTTAAATCATTTTATTTATTCATTTATTTATTTATTTTCCCGTATATTCTAAGTTTCGTGTCCCTTTAAATGTCCATGCATGTCCGCGCTCCGCCCACTGGAGAACTAAACGCGTCAACTGTTGAGGTTTTTGGAGAGTTTGTGCTTTCTTGCGTTCTTTGGCAGTTTATAGGACATGGTAAGTTAAGAAACTGCAATGTTAATTTCTTCTGCAGTTATCTGAGGCGTTAGTAATAAATCTGTCGAGCGAGAGGAAGTTTAGATTGAGGGCAGGAACGGTGTTATGCCCAAAAGTCATCGACTGCCATAAAGGGTTTTGTTTTTATGCGTTATTTATGTCACTGTGACACTTTGTACCCGGATTAAAAAAAACAGGGATGCATAAAAGTCACTGCTGAAAACTGATTGCAGGATCTAACCTGTGACACGAATGTTGTTTGAGGCTTAATCCTGAGAAACAAGTTTGACAGATTTCAGCCCAACAAGTTGTTTATAACATTTGAACAACTTGTTTGCAGCTGAGGGAAAAGTGCATTGTGGCGAAAAGCGCTGACAGCATATTAACGTCAGACAAAACGATTTCGCTCTTTTAGCTTCTCGTCTTCTTTTTGGGTTAATTGTGAGAGAAATCTGTGACCCGAGCAGCTGAAACGCTGAGCCTACACGTTGAAGTCGCTGTAACCTGTTGGCAGCTCTGATTTATTGCTGGTACGTCCGGTTATTGTTCCCGCACAGTTTTTTTCGTTTTCCCGTTTTGTGTGTTTGTATTTTCGGCACACGTCTGCGGTGGTGTCGGACAGCCGCTCCTCATGTCTTCATATTCTTCTGTTTCGTGTTTGTTTAATGTTCAGCAGTAGTTCTCGAGGCTTTCGCGTGTTTCTTTGGGAATTGGCTGCTTTTTCACTCATTTTCACTTCAACCAGTCAAACCAAGTTGTTATCGTGTCTTTAGGCACTTACTAGACTGTTGTTACTAGAAGCCTGTCACAAAGTAGAAGTTCTTCTCATTATTTGAACGTATGAAAAATACCGGCGATAACAAAGTTTTGATGGATATAAAATCTTATTTTTGATTTGAGCAGTCTGTATTCTGCATTTCAGTCAACTCCAGCTGCTGTCTGTTCTGTCTGTTGGTCATTTTGGAGTTTGTGTAGAAGTAGTTCTGTTCATCGGCACATTTCTTCCTGATGTTTCTTGTTATTTTGTAAACTGGTGGGAACAAATGTGGAATGGGGGGAATGTGGAGGGAACGTTGTACAGCTGGTCCTGAGGTAAACTGAACAGATTGGTTAGAATTCGCAGCGGGACACAAAGAACAATACACAACGTGCCACAATTCACACTGCATATCAGTAAAATCAGCTGTTCCCTCTGTAGCACAGCTGCTGACCCTGATGTATGCATAGACTGTACATAAAAGAAGGATTGGGGCCACTGTGACATCACTCATTTGTTTCTGGCTTCCAAGTTTTAAGCTCCACCCTTCATGTGTGTTTTTATTTTTTTCAGTTATTTGGAGTCTTAATTGGATGAAAGCATGGACTGCCAAGTTATCGATTCATGCCTTGAGGCGACTTTTGTTGTGATTTGGCGCTAAAATATAAATAAAATTGAATGGAATTGAATGTTAACTACCCTGATTAGCAAGCTCCAGCCATAAACTGTGCTTGAATACTGTAAGTGCTGAGTGACAGACTAATAAAACACTGACCACAACCGAAGTACAGATGTCTTGGGTTGTCTGTACCACACAGCAGATCAGTCTGATAATTACATTAAAAGGCTCCAACGGGCACCAGCAGCACAAACAGCGAGTTCCAGTTCAATGACCTCGTTTACCTCGTTTACAGCTGCTGTGAACAGAATAAACAGTTTGTATTTTTGTAGCAGGCTGTAAACTTTCTCTGTAGTGCTTTATAGTCGGGTATTTTTACATGGGAGTCTCATTTTTAGAGCCATAAATGGAGGCTTCAGCTTGTTTATGAGGCAGTGAGAGTGAGGGTATAAACAAAAAGTTTAGAAATGGTTTTTAAAGCTAAGAATGTCATCCACCCCGATGGGTAACTTCGTAATCAGGTTCTAAATCAAGAGCTTGACAAAAGCCTGGAAGAATGTTTCAGAAGTTCTCTGCAGAGATGTTGGGTCAGCTGGACCGGAGCTACTTTATATAGAAGATATACAACAGCTGGTTTTGAGCGAAACTCAATTAAAGGCTTCTGATCAAGCTGCTCTTTATTTTTTGTGGAGAACTAAAGCACATATTTGTTATACAGCAGGCACTGCTCATTACATGACTAATATCATCCCAGTGACTGTGGTGCTGGAAGCATCAGATAGAAATGTAAACATGCATTTTGGACGGACCATAATTCCCGTGTCCCCCTCATGCAGACGAGATCTGATCTGGTCTGAGGTGAAGTCATTATCATTTTCCGTTTCCTGACCCAGAGTGAAGATGAATGAGGATGCATTCGAGGTTCCAGAGAGAACCGAGTACCGCTACTTGGTACAGGAGGAGGATGAGGAGGAGGTGCAGTATGTGCGTCACAGACACTACATCAGCCCCTTCCTGGTCCTGTCCAAACGCTGCATCTTCCTCATCTGCCTCGGCGTGCTCGCTCTGCTCGCTCTGGCCGCCTACCTGGGTTACATAGCCCAGACGCTGCCACCGGGACTCGCCCAGGTGTCAACTGACTGTGGCGACTTTAGAGGAAGATATGTGAGTTTGTACTCTTCATAATATCAGATCTAAAATGTATTGCAACCACTTTTCAAAAACTACTTTTTAATTCATTTAACCCTCATTTCCTGAAGTCTGTAACTGTAATCCTGTACCAAATGTAATCGTTAACCGAGCTTAGCCTTGCTTTCACTTCCCCAGGATGCTGCAACACACAAGATTTGTGCTTCATCTGCAGAAATAACAAAGTAGAGCTCGTGATCGAATTTGTGTCTTTTTTTCTGTGAACACGAGCTGGCTGCTGCAGGATGAGTTTCATGCAGTCAGCGCTCAGCTCAGTTTATTTACATTCAGTTATTTTTAATGATCATTTTCGCACACTGAGTATTTTTTTATGTTTCTCAAAAAAAAAAGAAGAAGTTTGTTTAATAAACTGCTTAAAAGCAGTAAAGGAACATCAGCCTGACTGTTTGATGGTGGGTCAGGGACACACAGACGTCTATATTCTAGACAACAGCACCCGGATCAGCTTCGAGTATTGGGGTGAAATCCAGAACCGGGTCTCAGACCCTGCACTGGTGCTGTGGTCGCAAATTTTGAAGCCATCCTGATAACCTTCTCCCACCAACGATGTGGAGATCCAACCCTTTTAGATCCAATTAAAATCAAGACACTTAACTCATTCACTGCCATTGACGTCTATAGCCGTCAATGGCAGTGAATGAGTCAATGGGTTTAACTCATTCACTGCCAATGGCTGGCAGTGAATGAGTTAAAAAGATGCTCTGGAAAAGAGTAGAATTCTTGGAACAGAGTTTAATACAATGAATCATATGAACAGCAGGAAAAATACATACAGACATTTAGCAAGAGAATACATAGCAGAAAGCAAGCAAAGCAAAACCCCGGGGTGTACAGCCTTAAGCACAGACAAAAGAGCAACACAGAGACGGACAGAGAGAAACAGCAGAGGGGAAAAACGAGCTGGGGGTGTCCTCTGGTCATCTAATATATAGGGACCAGTATCCCCGCCCCCTGCTGCTGGGTAACTTTCCCACCCATCCAAACACAGCTGCAGGGGTCAGGTAGCGGCCAAGGTAGCGGCCAAAGGCCAGTCAGGACTCTGACTACCCCTTGCTCTGGCTTATCACAATAGGTCATGACACGGTCAAACATCACACATTAATCCTAATTATTAAATCTTACACAGCAAGTGGCACAATCTTATAACATATAATCTTATAACTACATAGGTTACATGCTTTCTCATATATAAAACCACTTCAGTGTGGGTTCAAAGTGTGTGTGTGTGTGTGTGTGTGTGTGTGTGTGTGTGTGTGTGTGTGTGTGTGTGTGTGTGTGTGTGTGTGATTATATCGTGTGATATTTTATTGTGATGTGTTCAGGATCTCTGTTACATTGTTAATGTTTTGGTTGTGCTGCATGAAAGACGTTGAGTGTGTATTAGAGAAGGTTAGTTAGCTGGAGAGTGAGTTATTCAGGCGAACTCTCAACAACATCAACTGCCCTGTTACTGTAAAACCTTAATAAACCTTGGTGAAGCAAAATGTATTGCTCTTAAGACTCTACATGAAAGTTAAAATATATATGTTCAGTGCACATAGATATATAGTGTATCAGGGCTCTAGACTAACTTTTTGCCATGGGCGTACCGGTACGCCTAACTTTAAAAAGTTAGGCTTACCGGCACAAAAGTTAGGCGCACACAAATTTTATAATAATTTATATAATATAATGTGTTTTTCTGGATACACTGTGCTTTTTCAGCATTCAAAGATTGATGACACCGTGTCAGAGCACTGGCTATGAATTTCAGAAGGATCAGGCCTTAACAGAAACGTTAGCAATAGTTCTTTTCCTATTACAGCTACATCCACTTCTGTCGTGCCTAGGCTGCTCACTAGGGCTGGTTATCATCACTGATTTCTATAATCCATTCGATTCCGGTTTTCAAAGTCCCGATTCGATTCAACTTAGCCTCAGACAGTCAGAAATATTATAATTCTGATCATTTATCAGTACTGACTTCATCAGAATTGTGAACATCACAGCAGATGCCTTTGTGTGAAAGTAACTGAGAATAAAACACAGAAAAACATGAAGGAGATTTTCCTGGTCTGGCTTTTTATAGCAGATAATCTTAAAAATATTCTACAATGTTCTGCACATAAAGTTTAAATTTCTTCAGTATTGAATAACAGAAAAAAATGGGCTTTCTTGTCTGAGGTCATTTAAGTGAAAAAAAGAAAAGAAAAAGACAGCAGCCACAGCGCTGTAAACAACGGTAGACTGGTGGGTAATAAGCGAATGAATAATACAGAAAACAGATTTGAGATGGGAAACTGTTCTTGAAGTACAGAGAGAGAGAGAGAGAGAGAGCTAGCTGTGCATGAAGTGTGATTTTAATAGTCGTGGAAGCAAAACAGCAAAATTCATGACGACATTGATCAAATGTGAAGCGCAGTTTGCTGCTTCTTTTGCTGCTGGCTCGGTGAATTTTGGCTGGAGAGACAAAACCTGCAGCTCAGAATCAGCGCAAAAAGACGTAATCACAGCGCGGACCGGACGCATCAGGATCGCTAAGCTCCGACAGCGTGTCCGTCTACGGGCCAAAAGACAAAGTTGATTCTGATGCGTCGGGTCCGTTCTGTGTTTACGTCTTTGTGTGGAATCCGTGTACCTGCTCTCATTTGCTGTTTGTTGTTGAAATAGTTTTGTGAGCTTTAATCTGAGAATCTGGCGTTTCTGGCAAAACACAGTTATATTTAAAAGTCGATTCAGGACTTAATGAATTGATATCGCTTTATTCAAGCTACTCACCTCCCACTTCCACCTGCACTTTCAACTGGACCACGGCCAATCAGAGAGGTCCCGCCCCTTACTATCTCTGATTGGTTTAGTCCACGATAGGGGCATAATGTGTGTCTGTTGTTGACCACAAGGAAGGTTGCAGATTTTTTTTTTTTTTTGCTACCCGAACATTTGGTCGCACAGGTGCAACCAAATGTTTTTTTTTAGTCGCACCACTGAAAAATTTGGTCACATTTGTGACCAAATTGGTCGCACTCTAGAGCCCTGTGTATATAGTTACATAGTTATACATATCACACAAAAATCCACCACAGTGCAGTGGGTCCTGGGATCCTCCTCCAAAACTCAGATCTTCAGGAAAGTACAACAAGTATGCTCTGACAGTTTTAATCTTTTCTTTGTAGAAAAATGGAGCCTACTCCTTTAAAGGCATGTCCTACGCTGCTCCACCTGTTGGTGGCCTGCGCTGGGCTCCTCCAGTTGAACCGGTATGCAAGAGTGGGGTTATCGATGCGGGCCACTTTCGCAGCATGTGTCCTCAGGTGAGGCCCTTGTCGAGCACGGGGAAGGTGATGGGCCAGGAGGACTGCCTGTTCATCAACGTTTGGACCCCCACCCTGCAGCCTGACGCCAAGCTTCCCGTCATGGTGTGGATCCACGGAGGATACCTGCACATGCTCAGCGGAGGAGAGAAGGGATACTCGCCTACGGAGAAGCTCGCCGCCGACACAAAAGTGGTTTACGTCAGCTTCAACTACAGACTCAATGCCTTTGGCTTTCTCGCCCTACAGATGCTGAGAGAAGGTTCTCCAAGAAACACCTCAGGTTAGTCGGTGATGCACAGCAGGACGAATGTGGAGTGTTTTACTGCAGCCTGCAAACAACTGGCTGCATGATATTTGTAGCCTGAAGCCTTAGCTGAAACAAGCTAATGAATATACATGTTCTGTAAGACATTTGTTAGATATCAGGAAAGGTTAAAGGAGACCTGTTCAACTCTTCCAATTTTCTGACCCTTATGTAACCTGTTGCAATGGATTTTGACATGATTAATGTCTCAAATAATGAGGTCACTGTGCATACAACTCTCCCCTGTGAGCCTAAAGGCTTCACACTAAACAAGCTTTTCCTACGTTTGCCTCTGTATGTTGTCAGTGACAGAGATCTCAGCACCACAATTATGTCAGCGCACAAGCCCCGCCCACTGGCTTTTCATACCTTTTATTAGTTTTTTCAATGATCTGTAATATCAATGACCTAAAATGAAGCTACGACACAGATTAGATGTCACGATCTGCGAGGCAAATTGTCGGGATATGAGCGGAGCGTGGACCCAAGTGCAGGCAAACGGAGACCAGAACGGATAATGACAAAAAGTGAGTCTTTATTTTGGCTGCTACCAAACTACAAACAGGTGGAACAGGGAAAGCTAAGAAAACCTAAACTGGGAAAAACTAAGCATGGAATAACACCTGAAACTAGAAACAAGAAACTTGAAAACCTGGAAACGGGATGGAGAGCAGAGGTAATCCGGGGGTAACACAAACTATATATACACAGAGAGAAACGAGGAAATGGCGTACAGGAGGGAGACACAGCTGATCCTCCATAAACATTACGACACAGGGAGGAAGCAAAACAGAATACACTGACATAAGACACAGACCTTCAAAGTAAAACAGGAAACACGACACAATACGCAGCCGTGGGACACGGGAAAAGTACAGAGTAGACACGGGAACAGAGACTAACACAGGCGAAGATAAACACAAAGAGAGGAAGGACTATAATCACTAAGAACTAAAGGAAACCAAAACTATGAACAATATATCAAATTGTAAAGTCAGAAATACAAGTACTGGGTCGCAGCCCAGTACAGTGACATTAGAATAAAGTGATAACACAACAGCTAACACTTCTGAAAAAATGTAGTTCTTACAGAAGAAGAACTTTATGAAAAGTTGAAAATTAAGTTTGGCATTATTTGCACTGAAATATAGACGGTATAAAAACAGACTGCTGTGAAATAGACTGAACAGCTATTGCCTAAATTTTAAACTCGACCTTGCAGCTCAATACAAAATCATAGAAATGCATTTAACCTCTGGGGGGTCCTAGAAAATTGCATACACTATTGGGCTTAGAGCCACAAATCGACCACGCCATGAAAAGTGCCATAAAATATCTATATATTAATATTTTTTTCCACTTTAAATTAGCCAATCTTTTAGACCTACTTCTCCTTGAAATATTCATATCAAGTTTTAATTACATTTCGCGGATTTTAACCCTTTATATCCCGGTTTCGTCACATGGCCGCACTGTTTTTTTAGCCCCAAAAAACAAAGAAATCAAATATTTCCCAAAAGATACAATTCCAAGGCCCGGACTCCCGAGTACCACCAACATTCGGAAGATGGCCCATTATTTGGTTGTAATGACCGTGGAATGGGAAATAGCGTTTATAATGGGTTTCAATGGGGCACAAATCGACCACTAGGACCAATAGTGTAAGTTTATCTGTAGCTCAGCCACTGAAGCTAATTTAAGGGAGTCAGACTGGAATTTTGAAATATATGTAACCAGACTTTTTTTTGGAAAAGTTGGCTATATTCCGTTCAACACAGTGCAAATGGCGTGTATACGAACAATGAAAAATGGCACAAATCGACCCAAGACCACCCAGAGGTTAAAAAAATATTGTAATAGTAGATCAGTCCAAGTTCATTATCTTGTCCACCTCTGCCTGAGCGCTCCGCACAGTCCTGAAACCTTGGCTACCGGGCTGTGGATTTCACTTCGTTTTTAAGCATCATATCAGTTCTCCACAGTCTGGGCTCCCTGCTCAGTTTAGCTACGTTCCCCTGCTGCTCTGTACAGACAGCAACCTGCTTGGTTTTCCACACGCTTGGTCACACACTGCCCGCTCTGCTCTGCATCCTCAGCCCGGCATTAATTATTCATATTTTACCTAGCTACGCTGCCTTAAATTCATTTATCAATCAGCTGTTGCTAGCTGTGAAAGGAAGAGCAGCCTTGTGTTGTTGTGTAAACGGGCGTGTTGCTAGGCAACCCAGCATGCCATAGTAATGGTTTTGCAATAATTTCTGTGGGGTAAAGATGACATCCTCTGCAGTTCTAGGTATAAGTGGTCATGTTTTCTTTTCGCAGCCCAAAACTCCATATTTGATAAATGAGCCTGAAAATACGAGCTTATTCCAGTATTTTCAAAATGCACAAATCTCCAGTTTAAGATGAGTAAAAATTATTTGACCTGTCAAAGTAACTTAAGGAGACCAAGAGTAGAATATAAAGGTGTAGCTGATAATTATTCATCGACTTTAAATATAATCTGAAACTATAAAAATGGAACGTGTATCATTGTACTGTCTTTGCCTCGCAAAGTGGCTTGAAGTAACTGTTGTGATTCGGCGCTATATAAATAAAACTGAATTGAGAAGCCTGCAGTGAGATGACCAAACGTTGGGTATTTATAACACGTAACAAAGATCTGAATATTAGAATTTTGAGGTAACACTGAAATATGATGCGTGATAGATTATACGAATCAACATATTTAAATCAGATATCTGTCCGACTGACTTGGAAAGCTAGATCGGGTCATTTCGGTGCTTTTGTGACAGCAGACTGATGAGAACACAAAGAGATGGAGAGTGTGAGTTTACCAACAGCAACACATGACAAGTCTGTCCACTTGGTCAGAGTGGTACTTTCACCTCATTCACTCTGCTGTCTGTGCTTACTAATGACGTTTTAAAACCACTCCATCGCTCACACAGTCTGGCTAACAGCCTCTAAACTACAAAGCCTTTCCCTGTCACCATCGACCGCACGGTTAGCGTACGCAGCTGGCATGCGATGTGGAACCGAGACACAGCTTGCGCTCCGTCTTCAGGCCCGTTCTCATTATTGTTTGGTTCCCTCAGAGGTGAACCGTGAGCCATTTACTAAACAAATAAAGTGGAATAAAATGCAGCCGAGTTTGAACAAACAAACCTTTTTACATGCTCAGTTAAAGACCCTAATTAGCGTCGTGGAGTTTCAGAAGTAGTGACACTTGCAGGGAGCTTTTAACGGCTTCTGTTAGGTCGCTGCAGTGCATCGTGTGGAGTTAAAGAAGTTCTAATGGCTGTAGTGTATTTTCTTACAAGCCATTTACCACTTAAACCGACCCTTTTAATATTTATGGTGTTTACATTGTGCTCCCAGTTAGAGGGAATGCTGAGAAGTCCATAGCCTTCCATTAAGATGTGTATACTTAATGAATGCTAATGCGATCTTTATAAATGGAGCTCTTTCCTAGGCTTCCTCCTGTTTGTTTGCATTTTTCCGCTGTGAGTCAAGTGGGTCATTTCTGTTACGCAACCCGAATAAGCCCACTGTGACCTTGATGTGACAGAGCCTTGCGTGACACGATGGTGTGATGGCAGGGCACACGACTCCTTTTCGGCATTCCAGAGCCTCCTCTCTGTCCTCTTCACTATCACTGCTCATTTTTAATAGTTGTAATCATCCCCTGCCCCATTTCCTCGCTCCCTCAGCTTGAGATGAGTTAAATTTAGTTCATGCTGCCAGAACACCACAGAAAGCTGGTTTCTGATTGAGAAAATAGGACATCAGAAAAAAGGCTGCATCAAAACCTGACTAATCGATCTCTTCTCAACTCTCCCCTTCCCTCCTCTGCAGGGAATTATGGCTTCCTGGATCAGATTGCAGCTCTGAAGTGGGTTCAGAAGAACATCCGTGTGTTTGGAGGAGATCCTGGCAAAGTTACCATATTTGGACAGAGCTCAGGTATAAACAGTATTAAAAAAAATCATTAAAAGTGTCATCGGGACATGCTGTGACACATGCAGTCTCAAACTTACCCTAAAGGATTGAATGTTTTATGTCTGTGTCCTAGAAAAGATTCGATCTAATTAAAAGAAGAGATAAAATATATTAACAGGAACACAGATTAGATCTGTCATGTGGTGTTGTGATTATAAAATATAACACTCACTTATGTTTTCGAAGTTACAGCAGTAACTCACTTGCTAGTAGAGAATGTGCACATTAAAGTTATTTATAGTGAATGCCCAAAGCAGTTACAGCGATTTGATCAAATCTACAGAAGCATTAAAGACACTGCCAGAGTCATATAACAGTTATTTAAAAGACAAATCATGTTAAGCACTGATGTGCTGGTAGTATTTTGGTCAGTATTGTACTGCGAATGAACGCAGTGTATACTGACATAAAGAAAACTGTCATTTGAAGTAAAAACAAAAAACTGATAAAAAGAGATGGGTGTGGCGTCAGTGTTTTCCACAGTATTATATTGTATTAATGGCAGTAGCAAGTATACTTTGTATACCTTATGACCATATCATTTAAACAGGGCGATAATCAAACCGTCTGCAGTGGTAGACATTAGAGTCCTGTGGAAGTACATGGTCACTGCTTAAATTTGACTGAAGAGGCTAACTGGCAGCTAGGTGATGCTAATGAAATGCCCTTGATTAACTGATCATTGCTAAAGTATCTATAAAAACAGAAGCTGTGGCAGTTTACTGGTTTGGAGTATTCAGGCGGATGTTACCAGTGTCAGAGTCTTAGCACCCCAGCAAATTTATCCCTGGGTCAAACCCTCTGCCAAAGCTCAGAGAAACTGTAGAACACCAAAGAGCTACACTTCAGACTCAGTTGGCTTCACGAAGTTTGTGACAGAAGAATTAGAAAAATATTGAACAAAATGGCCTTTTTAGAAGGGAAAACGGCAGCAAACCACTGAACAAGAGCTCTAGAACAATTTACTAACTGCGGTAACGTATTTTCCGCACTATAAGGCGCACTTAAAATCCTTTAATTTTCTCAATAATCTACAGAGTGCCTTATGTATGAATTCTGGTTGTGCTTACTGACCTCGAACTGATTTTATGTGCTACACGGCGCTCAAAAATCTGTCAAAAATGTTTTAGTGCGACTTTGGTAAGCTACGAAGCCGCACCGCTTGATCAGTGTTGCCAACTCCTCAGGAAGGAAAATCGCTATTGGTTGTCCTAAAAGTCGCCAGATTTGTCGCTAGTTGCGTTTTAGAAAAAAAATCGCTAAGGGGGTCTGAAAACTCGCTAAATATAGCGACAAAGTCGCTAAGTTGGCAACACTGCGCTTGATGGATTGTTGGAGCATCGTCAGGTGCCTCGCGGAGTAATCAGTGTCCTAAACTCCATCTTCTTCAGGGCCCAAAGTCAAACGAACCCTGCAGCATCACTGAGAGTTAAAAACTGTCTAAATTCTTTCATCTTTAATAAAATCATCAGCGTTGCTGCTTTACCAGGTGTAACAATTAAGTTTAACATCCAGGCATTTAACGGAGTTAGAAGTTAGCAGGAAGTTAGCTCGCTGGTTTCCACCTAAACATGATATAGCATGTTCTGACTGAGAGATTTCTGAAAAAATTCAAACGTACAGCTCTGCTATCACTTCCAACATAAATGAAGACAGAAAACTAAACAGCAGTGACGTTTGTAGGGTCACTGAAGTTGGGCTAGCTGGTATATAAGGATGTGCTACGTGATCGCTAGCGACACAGCTATGTTAGCATAACATAAACACAGTGGAGGTGGAACGTTAACTCTTTCGACTCAATAAAAGTTAACGTGAGGGTTCCCAATGGTTAGGATGCTGTAAACGGACCAAACTTCAGTGAGGAGAACAACTGAGATAATCCATCCACAATATGAGATTAGGTTATAATCCGGTGCACCTTATGGTCCGAAACATACGGTATATGCACCAATCTGTGTGTGAATGGTGCAGATGCACAAATCAGCAATTTATGACTATGTTCATACCAGAAATTTCAAAATGCCTTTTGCAGTGCAGCCTGATGGAAATGCTATCACAGAACCTAATAAGAACTGCAGAATGCCACAAACCTCAATGAACTGAAGCGATCTGTAAAGAAGAGTGGGCCAAAATTCTTCCACAACCACATGAAAGATAATTACTTGCTCCTAAAAGTCCTGAAAACATAAGTGTACACTTCACATCTTTTGGGAGAGTTTGAACGTGCAGGTGCTTGCTATGTTGTCTATGTATTTAATAATAAGGCAAACCAGTAGAACCGCTCCATCACCTGCAACCAGATGCTGCTCCCATTTTTGTACTTTGCTCTCCTAAAGGTGGAACGTCAGTGTGGACCCTGATGATGTCACCATTAGCCAAGGGTCTCTTTCATGCAGCAGTGGACATGAGCGGCTCGTACATTTACAATGCGACCCTGGAACAAGCCGAGGTGGACAACCTGGCGTTCCTGAATAAGACGGGCTGCGGAGATCTGGCCTGCCTGAGGCGCCTCTCTATCGGACAGGTCCTGCAGGTAGGGGGAGGAGGAGGCAGACAATCCATCCTAACTGGAGAGCCTTGCTGTAAAAAATCTGTGAAAGGCAACGAAGCTATCACAGTAATAAAAAATCTAATAACAGAAAAACGTTAATTTCTGTAATATTCTCCTTAATGTCTAAAGATATCAGGAAATATCTCATTCGTAGCTCATCTATCCAAACGGTTCTGACATTTTGATCAAAATTAAAATTACATTTTTCATTTTGATGGCTCATAATGTCACGTCCAGGTGCCAAAAGACCTGGACATCTCTAATTTTCCTATGCAGTTGATGAATAAATGGGACACTAAATATAATTTGCAGCCATGATTACAGGCAGCTTTCCCTCAAACACCACTGAGCTTCATTAAACTGAGGATCCTCTGATGAGAAGAGAACCTGTAGGTACATGAAGAGCTTCATTTCAACATGACGATGACCCCGGGAGGAATTATGAATAATGTATGTCATGAAATGATGATGACAGCTGAACTTTTAAAACTGTGACAGTCATCAGACTGCAGGTTACTGTTATTAGGTTTTTAAAATGTCAAAGTAAGTGATTCAAGATGCCACTCAGGAGACTGGAAAAAGAGCAGTTTCCGTCTTATTTTACCCCGTAATTCTGTTAAATACAAATTAAAAAATAGTCGTGTTTTATGAAAGCGAAACCTAAACTCACTGTGGACCAGTCGTCTTTACATACATTGTGCTCCTCTCCTGTCCAAAAGAACCATTAAGATGAATATAAGTTTGTTTCCTTCGTCTTGAATCTTATGCTAAAAACAACAAGCATGTATTCCTAGGCCATCCCATGGCAGGAGTACCCCTCCTGGGCAGCAGATGAGATGACTGACCTCCCCACCAAAGGGAAATCCATCGGCCCGGTTGCAGTAGTGGACGGCTACGTCCTCAAAGCGCCCCCTTTTGAGCTGTGGGAGAAGAAAGGAGAGCACAGTGACGTCCCTTTCCTTGTCGGAACAACAGAGCAAGAGGCTGACTTCGCGTGAGTTCACCTGCTTCCGTTTCTCCACATTCAGCTTGTGCTGAGATGAGTCTCCACTTCAGTGCTGTGTTTCCTCCACAGTCCTCCATCTACAAACATCTCCGAGTGGACCTGGGGGGACTACACGTGGTTCGTAACAGGTAACGGCTTTAAAGGGGGTGTAACCCAGGTTTTTTTTTGTAGACGTCTTCTAAATTTATCGCATGCAAGCAACCATGGAGCCACTGTGCTGGAAGAAATGACTGCTATGGTAAAATGGTACATGGCCTGTATTTGTATAGCGCTTTTCTAGTCCCTAAGGACCCCAAAGCGCTTTACACAACCAGTCATCCACCCATTGGTGATAGCAGCTACATTGTAGCCACAGCCACCCTGGGGCGCACTGACAGAGGCGAGGCCGCCGGACACTGGCGCCACCTGGCCCTCTGACCACCACCAGTAGGCAACGGGTGAAGTGTCTTGCCCAAGGACACAACGACCGAGACTGTCCAAGCCGGGGCTCGAACCGGCAACCTTCCGATTACAAGGCGAACTCCCAACTCTTGAGCCACGATCAAGGATTCTCTCAGAGATTGTAGCCACTTGGCTTCAGGGATTTAGACCAAGATCAGGGTTAGTGCTTTGTAGTTTGTAGTGATGGTTGAATGAAGTCACAGGAGGCTTGGGAATTTGATTGAGAATATTTGAATCATTAATGAATCAATATCTTTACAAACATGGCCCAATAAACATGCCTGTGTGTGTGTATTGGTTGCACCATAGAGCAGCGGTCCCCAACCCCCGGGACACAGTCTGGTACCGGTCCGTGAGTCATTTGGTACCGGGCCGCAAGAGTTGAGGCTCCGGTGTGAAATTTATGGTTTTCAGGGTCTTTTCCCGTGATGAAGCTGTGTGTCTTGTTTTGAAAGAAATATTTACGCGTTACCATAGCGACCAGAGAGCATTAAGGTGCAGAGAGGAGGATGTTACTCTCAGTGTTGTTGGCGCATTTCAGGAGGACGCTGCTAATAAAGTTACACAATTACACAGTGAATTCGCGTTTATTATTATATTTACAAAATACCACAGTTTTTGTCTCGGTCATATCATTTTATTTTGTTGTATTTTGTTGCACCTTAATGGCCGGTCTGTGAAAATATTGTCTGACATTAAACCGGTCCGTGGCGCAAAAAAGGTTGGGGCCCGCTGCCATAGAGTACCCTATGGCTGCAACCTGCAACCAAGGAAATGTTGAGCATCGTATACTTCTCAGGAATCCATTTCACCTTGCTACTGCTGGGCGTCTCCAGCAGCTACTCATGGAATACAGAATTTTGCGTAGTGATTAGCCACGCCCCCTCTCTAGGTCTGTGTGACTGGGGCTTCAGGGAAACGCTGGTAACAGAACCTTTATCCTAAATATGAGAATCATTCATTCAAACAAGGTCAGTCTCACTTACACTCTGGGTTTCCTAGCAACACATCTAAAAGATGTGAATCACATGATCACATGAAAGGTTGTCAGGATAGGCAAAGAACAAACAGACTGAAAGAAATTTCCTAAAATATTAGTAAGATATTGGGCCTTAAAGCAGACCCAGGCTTTCTACTGTCTCTACTTGTTAAAAAGGAGTTCTTCCTCCTTACTGTTGCCATGTGCTTAACATTCAAGGTTTTTTTACTGTATATTTTTTACCTGATCAGGTAAAATTATTAGCGTGGAGGAAAAAGATTTTAGAAAATAAGGTTAGGTGTGCTCTATAAAGTACCATGACAGTGTAGCCCATTAAGAAGTCAACCACGCTCTTGACACTGAAAACTAGGCTTTACCTCACTAAGCCCAAATCCAGTTTCATAGTTCAGGCCACTGTTCTGTTTGATTGCATCCTGCTCACTGACGTATGATGCCAGGGACTGAAACTGAGTTTAAACAGGAAAATCTGTGTAAGCACTTCACATGATAACATATTATGTGTGGACTGTATATGTCTGTGTCGTTTTCCTCTCAGCTAAACTTAAGTCATTCGGCGACGGTCTCGTCAAGGAGGCGTTGCGGCTGTATCCATCTTCAGCCTGGTGTCCAACCAAAGACCGCTGCCCAGAGAGGTCCTATACCACCATGGTGTCTGACATCAGGGTCACCTGTCCCAACAACGACCTGGCCCAGAGGGCTGCAGGTAAACTCATGGATCACTGAATAATATCATGATTATAATAATAAAATTGATAATAGGTTCTCCCATAATAAGAGCTTTAACCCAGATGTGCAGTGCTCAGTGATGATTAAGTGGCAGCTGGAAAACCAGCAGGGTGGATCATCTAAGTGTTTTGAAGTGGAGGCCTCACCATGGTTACTGCAACTGGTTGAATAAAGTTTGACCAATTTCTGACTGAATTGTTATTTCACAACACCCAATTTCCATCTTAGGCTTCACTTTGTCTCCACTCTAACCAGTATATGTGGGGGATTAGAGTTGAGTCTCTCTAACCCAGACCTTCCCAAAGTGTGGGGCCCGCCCCCTAGGGGGGGTGCAGAGCCATGGCAGGGGGGGGGTGCAGGATGAAAGGGGGGGGGGGGGAACAAAACGCTTGGACACTGCTAGCACAGGCGCCTACAGAAACGCAAAGCAGGAGATGAAGCATCGCTGAATATGTTTCCAAACCAACTTCATTCTAAGCCAAAGACTAGAAAATATGGTGAAGCATGTCTGCCCTTTGGCTTCACCTGCAGTGCCGAGGTAGGTCTCCCTGCAGAATTGGTTTTCCCTTCGTCGGGAGCAGCGCTGGGCTGTTTAAATCACGGACGCGGGGGGGGGCAAACATTTTTCTGTAAAACAAAGGGGGGGCCCAGCAAAAAAAGTTTGGGAACCACTGCTCTAAACAATCACCACATCAGTCAAGATTCAGTCAGCACGCTTAGTCAGCATACTGGTTTATACCCTTATTGTAAGAGGCAGAGGAAGTAAAAGCTGTCTACCTTTCCTTGGCTGCAGTGCTCAGCTTTAGTCTTGGCCATGGCCCTGGTAGCTGCCCTCTTGCAGCACACTGTCTTTTCATTTATTCTAGTTTGGAGATGATGATGATGGATCCCCACACACATTCATTTAGAAGCAAAGATGTGGCTATATTAAACTTTATCAAAGTGTAACATATACAGTACCTCATATTGATAATATTGATCCATCACCCAGAGCAACCCTACTCTGACATGTAGTTGAGTAGAAGAAAATCTAAATATTACAGTAAAAGTATCTGAGAACAGAAGTTATTTGCTTTCTTTGTTTCTTTGCTTTGTAATCTTTACTTTATAATACTTTCTGATATATTTATTGGTTCTTAGTGAGAGCGACAAAAGCTGAGTGTTTTTCTCTGCTGATACCAAAAGTGAAGTGATCTCCGACATATTAGTATAATGTAACACAAATATATGTTACAAGTCGTTTTCTTTTCACAGTAGCAAGCCCCCTTCCTTCCTTTGCAGTATGGCACCATTGTGCTTCGTGTAGGTTTGGTGTCAGCGGTGAAACTCTGAGTAAAGTGACATTTAGCTGTTGTGTGAGGCGACTGCAGGGCATCCTGGGTGATTTTTCTTCCACTTGCTTCATTGGGTTTTTTATCTTGTGCAGCTTGGTTTTTTTTGTTTGTTTTTTTGTCTTTTTTTTCATCTCTCGCTGAGTCACAGTCAATCTGGGCTCGAAATGACTGATAAATGGGAGATTCAAAAGGAACCTACATGTTGGTTTCAGCAAGAAATGAAACATTGCTTGTGGCTGAAATAATAGAAAAAAGCTTTTCAAATAACATTTGACTCTAAAAATGTACATAACACCAAAAAAACACAGTTAGGTAGGTTTTATGTTTCTTAGAACAGAAATATACCGACTGTATGTACTCACATTACACTTTCATTGCATATTAACATTTTTTGTTGCTATATACTTATTTTCCATTTTTTTTTTTTTTTTTTTTTTTAAATGACATCAGAAACACCAGTATGCGACATTACGTGATGGCAGAGCTTTAGTTCATCCTTTGTCATTTTTTTTTTTTTTTTTTAATAAATAGGACAGGGGTATATATATATATACTTATTTTCCAACAATTTTCACACGCCCTAATTTGCCAAAAGTATTCAGTCACCCAACCAAATCCCTGAAGGTTCAGGTGGTCTAATCACCTCCGTGGCCACAGGTGCATACACCCGTGCATGGTACCACGATAATACACCACCTGTGCAATAAGCCCAGTCAGGAAATTTCCAGTCAACCTTTAGTGGTATTATAACACAGTGGAAGACCACGTGAAATCTTCGAGTGGATGTGCAGAGGTTGTTAATTTTCTGCAGAGCCAATCACTACAGACCTCCAAACTTCATGTGCTCGTCAGATTAGCTGAAGAACAGTTCATGGAATGGGTTTCCTATGCTGAGCAACTGCGTCTAAGCCTTACGTTACGGGATGTAACGCCACTGGACTGTAGAGCAGTGGAGACATGATCTCTGAAGTGATGAATGACACTTCTGTCTAGGATGTCACAGGGTGAGAAGCTGGGTCCTTCACAGATGGCCGTTCACTCTCACAGCCTTGTTAGTTAGTTAAGCTAACATGCACGTCTTTGGATTAAGGGAGGAAACTGGAGTACAAGAACTTAACTTTAGCCCCTAAATGTGTCACATGCAGGCAATTTGAAGTTTTAGCTTTAAAAACATGAATATTTCACAGTTCCAGCTGTTTTAAATCTTTGCTGCTTTTCAGGAAGGTTTGGACTGCTGCCCCAAGATTTCACAAGTGAGGGATCAGCAACAGTGTGGCTAAGCTTTTTATTTCATCCTGTCATGAGTGTCGAGAAAGAACAAAAAGTATGAGATGTCATTGGATGTCAAAGATCAACTTTTTTTGCATATAGTTCGGATCTCTGGAGGGAACTTCTATCCAGCTGGTCTTCCATCCTCGCTGACTTGCATCAGAGGTTTTGCAGACACATCGAATTGCTGCTAAAATAATCTCCCAAAAAATGTGTAATTTGAACACTCCAGTGAAAACTCCCCCCCAGACTTGCGCACTAAACGTTTGATCGTATTCGTGAATGTCAAGCATTAAAATATAAATCCAAACTAGAGTCGCTTCAACAAAGGCCCAATTAATTAATAAGCCAGAGGACAGATGGGTAATCTAAAACTATTTTTCCATTTAAGTTACTTTTAAAGTCCACGACTCAAACATTCCACTCGTATTCGCTTTAGTGTGTTGGTACATTTATTTCTCATTATATTGAGGAATGATGGTAAAAAGAATGTGGTGACTTTGCCTTTGGCTTCAAGAGACTATTGCAGATATTTTCAGTTTTCTGACACTGTGGAAGCAAAGAAATCATAAAAAAGATGTGAGGTCGCTTCCACCTGTGTAATGTCAGCAATGTTTGCGTAATTCAAAGTGTCTTTTGTCGTAAGTGTTTGAAACAAATGTCAAAAGTGTTTTTCACATTTGACATTTGGTTGAAGATTCTTTTTCTTCAGGTGACAAGAGTAATTTTAATAACAACAATTAATAAAGAGGCATTGATGCTGCAACTGCAGGATTTGTTTTCTTTTGTGTTTATGAAGATAGAAAGTGGAACATTTACAGCAGGATACATTTGGTTTTTTGTCATTTTTGACAGTCTAATAAGCTCTTTTGTAACCATTTCTCAGCTGCTCTCAAAAGTCCGGTGTATCGCTACGTGGTGAGGCACACGCCATCCGGACCTGTCAACACATCCAGCGACCTGCTGCCATTCCCCAGCCGCTTCTCCTTCCACTGTCTGGATGCCGTGGCATTCTTTGGAGGGCTGGAGTTCATTTTAGGGAAACCTCTCTCCGATAAGGACCGGCGCTTTCAGGATCTCATCACACGCAATCTCGTCAGCTTTGCCAAAACAGGTGAGGGCTGTTTGTAAATCATAGATAAGAGAAGTTATTGTGTGTGTGGAGTTAAAATAGTGGATTCAGGGCTTCAAATAAGTCTTTGCAAGTAATTGCTGTGAGCCAAAACTTCAGGCTAATAGACAAGTTCAGATATCTCTGTGCTTGAGAATGAACAAAATGCCACCTGCCTAAACCTTCTGTTTGCGAGGTGCAGCCAATCAGAAGAAGAGGAATAAAAACAGTTAACTGAGGTGCTACACTTTGTGTTTTAAAAAAAATCAAAGTGAGCAAACCCTACTTTATCAGATGTGATGTGATGATGGCAAGAACCCGTCTTTTTGTATTTTCATTACACATCAGTGTTTGTGCTGCTCGCCCATCTCACTGCTGCCACTCAGGACCAGAAAATGACCCCTAAAATTCCTCTAAGGAGCAGAAGAGAACAATAAGAGAATAGGGTTGCTCTTAGCATCCGAGATAAAAGCAGGTTCCTAACACTAAATGGTGTTTCTCCTTCTGCACATCTCTATCAGCTGACCTCTGTGCCCTTTGTTAAGCAGTGCTCGGAGCTTGCTGATGTTCCTTTGTTCAGAGTACCTGTGAGTTAACTTATAGCTCAGGAGGTACTTTGAACAAATTCAGCAGAAACAATCCTCATCCATCGAAAAATGTGATGTAAAAGACTTTTAGCCTTATGAAGGGCTCATAAGGAACTACCTTGGATTTCTCATTTGATGACTCAGTGTATTAGTGTGACGTGTTTTTTTTTTTCTTTGCCTTTGTACATTGAAATTCATGTCATCACGGCGTGTCTTTATTAAGCAGCAGCCTCCAATGCTGAAAATGAAACTGCATTACACTGATGGCAATTTGAGGCTGGCTCCCAAAGATTTTGGACTCCGTCGATAGTTTGCCGTTTTGTAACAAATGTAAGGTGGTGAGATTTTGTGTAGCTGATCCACTTGCTTGCTTTGAAGGGTTAAAGCCTGTTTGTGGCTGATTGCCAGCACATGGCTTTTACCCATCGGCTGTGTGCGTGTGCTGCAGACTGTGCCGTATCATATTGTGCACAATTTTACATGAAAGTGTCATATTCACATCATTGCTACAAGCACACCATGTGTTTATATTTTTCAGTGTGGACTACAACAAGAAAAACCCAGGCGTGTCATACCACGTGTCCAATGATTGATTTAGTAAAACCGAAGCTACTCCAACAACCTCCAGCAAAGCACAACGCTTTGAAAAATATCCATGAAAACTTTTCTCACCAAAGGTGGGAGACACAAGCAGGTGGTGACTGAAAAGTTAAAAAATGACTCAAACTAATTCACTTGCTAGTCGCACTCCATATGACACGAAGAGCAAATGCTGGGTTGAAATGATGGATCCAGTTATATGATGGTAAAGGAGAGCTTCGAGTATTTTCTTTTTCTATATCATCAGTTGTTATCACACGTTTTCTCCAGATATTGACATGATTTTGAGGTTATATCGCTCACCCCTTAGCACACTGGTGGACAGTAAATGGTCGGACACACAGAGATGTGGGTTCATCTGAAATTCTGATGGATATAACGTCCATTACTGAGACCCAAGCACACCCTCACAAGAGTGGCTGATACAACAGTGGTGACAGATGGCTACAAAGGGAGCGGGACACACGTTGACTCCACTAATTTCCTTTTTGCACATCACTTTCAGAGGCAGCCAAAAAGGATAAGGAACTGGCCAGATGCAGATTTAAAAAGGAAAACATACTGTACACTAGACTGTGTGCTGGACGAGGGGATTTGACCTCGTCCACCTCCCGCCTTGATACTTTTGTGCCTTCAAGTTACACTGTTTCTCTTTACTCCTTGCAGGTAAGGTGGAGACAAAGTGGTCCGAGTACCCATCAGCCATTGCTTTCTTGTCCGACATCCTTGAGGTGGACAGTAACTACACCTCTCCTCAGTGTGATCTGTGGAGGAAGAACGGCCTGTATGCCTACGCCTGGATGAACTGAGCACAGACGGCAGCTGGAAGTCACTTTGCAGTTTCTCTGCTTTGTCTCTCATCCAGCTCAAATCCCACAGCAGCCGCTGTTAGTTTGAATCCTCAACAGAGATGAAACGTTTGTTTGAGGCAGCGTTTGATTGCTCAATCTTAAATCTATTATTTTAAAGTCCAGCAACGAGCCATATTTGTGTTTTAAATAATTTCTCACTTCATTCCTAGTTTAAGTTTGTGTGGTTTTTTTTTCCAGTTACATTTCCTATCTTGGCCAGGTCTCCCTTGAAAAAGAGGTTTTTAATCTCAATGGGATCTTCCTGGTTAAATAAAGGTTAATAAATAAATTTCAGTTAGAGGTGCAGGGAATTCTGGCTGATCCACAGGATGTCGCTATGGACCGTTTTAAAACTAACAGCTTTATATTCAAGGAAGCTTAACTTGTTTGCATTAGAGCGAGGTGAGAAAGACTTAACAGACTCTGGGTCTGCATAGAGTAACTGTACATTAAACTAGGTGTGTAAGTGTAATGGAGCAGACCAATGGGAGCTGCAGTGAACTTGGGTTGTTATGGGTTTCAAAGAAAACATGTTTGTGCCAAATCAATCTGAAACATGAAATGAAGTCCCCTTTATCTGGGTGCAGTCATGTAACATTACTTTAAAACACACAGGAAGTTAAACTTCGCTGATCTGCTGAAAATGTTTATAGATCAAAAACAAGTTAGAACCCTCTTCAAAAACCTCGTGAAATCCACTCGACCGAGGGAAAGTTCTTCAAGTCTGGCTCCTCAGAGCAGTTTTGGAAATATACAAAAGAAAGTTTTTCTTTCCTCAAATTAAGCTTTAAAAAGGTAAAACATTTGGATAAAGGCAGGAATGCTGTTTTCCTCCTCTTTATATGTAATATGATGAAACATTTCTAAACCTGGAGTCTCTAAGAAGAAGTCCCTGTTTGACCGCTCACGCTGTGCAGCAGCTTCTGTTTCTGACCTTTGAATGGTCATCACTGGGATGAGAGCGGGTCTGCAGCTGAAACTCAGCAGCCGTGTCAGCCAAGTCGGACATGAAGCGAGACCAAATTGAAAACAGAGGAAACACTTTGGCCACACCAACACAATCTCCTCTTATCAACTGTGCTAACTGAAAGATTTGCCTTCCTGCAACTTCATCCACTCACAAAAATGAAAATGAAAGTGAAGTGTCTTTCAAGGTTTTTAGAAACTGAAGAGAATCCAGTGCACTCTGCAGATGAATAAGTGTAAGTGGGGACTGGGTCTTTCAGAAAGTACCAGCTGCTCTGAGGGCAGTTCAGAGGCGTACAAGGAGACACATTTGATTTCTTCTTTTTTATAAGCCAGAACATTTCTTCTCCAGCTGATATAAAGCAATAATAACCTTAACGAAGGCTCAGTGTGTCTCTCATCTTTGCAGATTGTTGCTGCTAAAGCCTTTAACTGCTTCTAATGTTTTTAAAGAAGTGCAAGGGTTCTTCAGATCATTTGTTTTCTAAAGACGTGCAAAGTCTTGTTAAATATATTTGAGAATACAAAGGAAGGATATCATTTCACTATCATTTCTGTCAACCTGGAATTTCGGGGTTTGCCAGGACACATCCAGTCCTGATGACTAAAAGGCTTTTCGAGGATTTACTTTGTGTCCTTTATTCAGATTTTAAATGAAAGACTGCAGTTACATTCCTCCTGCTTCACAAAGTTTAGTGAAATCGCAAAATAAGTTAAAAAGAAATGATCTTAATAAGAAGCTTAACGCGACTTTGTAACCATTTGTCTAATGTCCAAAGTTCACTCAGACAGAGACACAAACATAGTTGTTACAGCTGTAAAAGTATGTAAGTACACCCAGGTCATTTTCACACGGACTCTTTGTCTGTATTTACAGAGGAAATATTAAGGTATGAAGGGAATATTTTTAAAAAAGAGATTTTTGCTTTATAATTTCAAGACAAATGTGTCCGTGTTATTGTCAACTGTGAATGTGCTGTTGAGTCACGGGATGTTAGTTTTGAATTTTGTCACTTTCTGCTGTTTGCACTGATTTCAAGCTTGGCCACTGCGAACATGTGAACACGTTTCGTTCTTTGTATATTTGATTTAATTTGTTTTGATTGGTTTTAAATGCTCGCTTCCTTTTGCTCCTCATTTGTTGTGTTGTTATGTGAATCCAATCAGCAGACAGTATGTATTTAAAGATGTACCACATTTCCATTTTAATCAAACGACACTAATCATTGCCATCAGTTTGTTTCTATCTGCTTTGGTTTTGCATCGTGTTTCTGTTGTTTTTGGAAACAGCACTTTGATGGTTATATTTGGCTGTGTGTTCATGTGTTGATGTTCACTTTTGTATGTTCAATAAAACTGCATCATGCTGACTGTTGTTAACCTGCTAAACTTGAGGATTAGTATTAGTAAATTAGTATCGTTCTCTTGGTTGGAAGGATGTAAACGTTTTGTTTGTTTGTTTGTTTTTTACAGTTTAATGAATTTCCTGTATTAACTGTCCAGTTTTGTTGATCAATACAATAAGAGTAGCACAAATTACCAAGTCAGAAATAAGTAGACTTAGTAAGGAACCAAGCAAGAAAAAATATAGCACAAGCTAAGGTTTTACATGTGTTTCTTTCTAGAAGCAGAGCAGGAATTTATCTAAAGAGATGCAGCTGAAATAAAATCAATATGTCTTTGATATAAAGGTCTGTTAGAAATTGTCACAGTTGGTGTGCGGTTGGGTAGGTTGAGAGCCATTCACTGGCTAAATCGTGAAAGTTAAGATGGAATACTATTAAAAACCTCTGTCAAGATTCAAGATTTGTATTTGCCATTTGCGCACAGGACAGGAAATGCACAACAGTCCATCCACACTGGAATTGTTGTGCAGAGCTCTCTAGGTCAAGTCACATTTTTAAAAGGTAGAAACAGCAAATAAAGGAAAGTAGAGATCAAGCAAAGAGTGGAGCAATCTTCTAGTAGTATTCATGATATAAAAAGATTTTTTTTTAAAAAAGTCCGGGAAGTTAGGTCTCCCGTGTTAACTCACAAAGTCCTGACAACGCGAGTACGAACTCGCATACTTGAATATTTAGAAACGGCTTAACAGTCTGCAGTCTATGAACAAGCTAACAATGTTAGCTCGGTGGCGAGTAGCCTTCAGTAATAGTAATAAAAATCACACAGCAATAGTACATCGAAGATACTGAAGTTTCGTCCGTCCCATTCTTATGAAGTGGTGTCAGAAACGCATTCCTGCCTGTGCACTGCTGCCTCTGTTGTGCTGCCTCTGGGTCCATTGTGTAACTGACGCCGCCAACATTAACAGGACGCTTACATTAGAGCCTCTTATTGCGTGTTTTGTTTGGGTGTCCTGCAATCAGAATCAGAGAAACTGAATTAATCCCAGGTGGAAATAGAGTTATCCAACTGAACTGTTTATCCCATCGTACATTTGAAATGAGGTAAAGTAGTGCTGTGTTCTTTTAAGTGTTCAGTGTCTTTTGCTTGCCATCAGTCTGACAGTTGCAGGGAAGAAGCTGTTGAAAAGCTGCTGTTGTTCTGTGTGTGATGATGCTGTCTGCTCTGTTGTGTCTGAGCAGAGAGTGAGCTGGATGGTGTGAGTCCCTGATTATTCTCTGCTCTTTTTCAGCAGCGTTGTTGTGTACAGAGAGTACATGGAAGGAGGCTTTGTGACCCTTTGCAGAGCCTTCCTCTCTGCCTGTGTGGTGGTCCCGTACCAGACAGTGATGCCTGTGGTGAGGATGCTCTCTACAAGTCCTCTGTAGGCCTGGGTGAGACGGCGATGATTCATGCCAGCTTTCCTGAGATAGAAATAAAGCCTTTGCTGGGCATTTTTCACTGTTGCTGTGGTGTTGAGAGTCCAGCTCAGGTCTGATGTAACCTGCAGGCCCAGGAATCTGTGGCCATTGGCCCTCTCCACCTCTGTCCCTTTGATGATAAGAGGCTGCAGGGGAGGGGGTTCTTCCTGAAATCCAGTATTACTTCCTTAGTCTTGTCCGTGTTGAGGATGAGGTCATTTTCCTCTCCATAGGCAAGAACACTGTCTACCACAGTCCTGTACCCAGACTCGTTCCCCCCCCTTGATGAGCCCCAGGATGGTGGTGTCACCAGCATATTTGATGACGATGGAGTTTTCCTGGGTGGAGACACAGTCATGGGTGTACAGGAGTTTGGGGCTGAGGCAGCGGCCCTGTCGAGATCCAGTGCTGACGGTGAGCTCAGCAGAAACGTGCCCTCCCATTCTCACCACCTGTGGTCTGTCTGTCAAAAAGTCCAGAATCCAGTTGCAAGTGGGAGTTGGGATGCCGAGGTCTGTCAGCTTCTCCATCAGCTTGCCCGGGTGGATGGTGTTGAAAGCTGAGCTCTAGTCCAGCATCTGCTGCTCTCCAGGTGTTGCAGAGTAGCTATTGCTGTTGCATCATCTACTGATCGATTGGGACGGTATGCAAACTGGATGGGGGTCTATGGTGTCCAGGACCCTGTGGTTGATGTGTGTGAGAACCAGTTTTTTTAGACACTTCATAACGACTGGTGTGAGGGCCACTGGCCTGAAGTCGTTCAGGGAGAAGCTGTCAAGTTTTTGGGAACTGGTATAATGATGGAGGATTCAAAAATACATGGGACTACTGCCTGGGATAGTGACAGGTTGAAGATATCAGTGCACACAGCTAGTTGTTCCCCACAGGCCTTCAAAACTCTGGGAGGAACTCCATCGGGTCCCACAGCCTTGTGGGGATTCACTTTTTTCAGAGCTATGTGATAATAAAGATGACGTGGAAAATGCAAAGGAACACAAAACATTACTTACCGACAGGTTGCTACCCCACCGCAGTGTTAAGGAAGATACTTTTACTGTGCCACATTCATAAATAAGCACATTACTCATTTGCACTTCAGATGTCCCATTAGTAACTTCTTATTGTTGTTTTTTAAGCTACTTAACATGGACCTATGGATCTTTGAAGCTAAAATAAACAACTCAATGAAGCAGTGTTGTGTTTACACAGAACATATAACACACAACAGCGAAGAACCATTTCAAATAGTATCTTTACTAATTTGTTACTGGCAGTCTGTCACAAAAACTGATATTTTGTTCATATTTCATTGGTTTCCCAGGTTAGTTTCCCTCTCAGACTTTTTTATATTTAGTTGAATCTATGTAAAAAATAAATGAAAGATTTAAAAAAAAGTCTGAAAGGCATAAAATAACATTTTGCACCAACAAAAATGCTCAAGAATGGTTTTGTGGTAAATGGATTGGTTCCTATAGAGTGCTTTTCTAATCTACCTGAGCACTCAAAACACGTTATACATTTTATCTGAGTGCTTTCTAACATTCCTGCTCCAATGGATGCATCAGAGAGCAACTTGGAGTTAGTCTCTTGCCCAAGGATACTTGACATACAGACTAGAGCACCGATTAGTAGATGACCTGCTCTACCTCCTTGGCAGCAACCCCATTTTTCAGCATGATAATGATCCCAAACACTTTGCCAGTGCAGTCAAAGCATACCTGGATAGAAAAACAAACACTGGAACAGTATCAGTCATGGATTGTTCTCTCCAAAGCCCAGACCTAAACATTACTAAAGCAGTGTGGGAAAATCTGGACAGAGAATGGAACAAAAGGCAGCCAACGTCCAAAGAAGAGCATTGAATGTCCTTCAGGAACCCTGCAGAACTATTTCTGAAGACTACTTAAATAAATTGCAAGAGTTCTAAGAGAGTTCAGGCTGCATTGAAGAATGGATGTAGCCATACAAAAAATCTAATTTAGTATTTCCATTCATGCTTGCATGTTTCAGTAAAGTGCTGCACCTCATTCCCATTCTCCTCGAAAAATATTAAGAAATGAAGGGCATGGAAGAATGGAAGAAAAGCTTGCTCCGTGCACTGCTGAAACAATCTGCAGAGGTTTCCATCGTGGGCTTATCTCTCTGTGAGGAAAAGCTATAAATGTGCCTGAAAAAGCCTGAAACACTTGAAACCCATCACTCACAAACGTCAGCTGACTGACCCTTGGAATCAGCAAAGAGCTGTGGAGCGATAGTATCAGAGCAATCCCTCGGACTGCATTCTTCTGGACAGAGAACTCTGATATTGTCCACTGGGATTGCCATACCTATCACAGCTGCAGTCTTCTGCTTCTTCTCAACCACCATTATGTCTGGCTAGTTGGCCAGTATGTCTGACTGGAACTTAAAGTCCCACAGGACCTTAGCCCTGTTCTTCTTAACCACTTTTGGCGGTGCCTCCCATCAGGAATTGGAGAACTGGCCTATTCTGTGCTTCTCTGATGTTGGCTTCCAGCCTCGTTCTCCATGGAGAGAAGTCCTGTCCCATTTTTTTTTAACATGTTATTGCCATGTAATTCAAAATGAGCTAATATCTGTCTCAAAATGACACTTTTTTTCAGTTAATCATTTTGATCATTTTGTATGTTTTTCTGTATTGTGTTGTGAATAAAATATAAGTTAACAAGATTTGCAAGTCATTGAATTTTTACTTACATTTAACAGTTTCCCAACTTTATTAAAGTTGGGTTTATATACATATAGAACTGTACTCGATCTAAAATATGATGACCATTTGAAATTTACATCCTGGCTGTAGGTGAGTGAGTGCTCCCAAAAAATCCCCCCCCCCCAAAAAAAGAAGTCTTGAAAGTGGAAGTTCTTGATTGTTATTATATTAGTGGTATTATATTCTACTGTGCTATTCAGGAAAGTGAGGCAGAGACAGAAGTCATCCATGGCAAAGACTAAGTAAAGTCTAAGTGGTGCCATGACACCAGTCAGTCAGAAGTGCCAGCTTAATGCCAGATCAATATATATATATCTGACCTTTTACCAGACCAGAGGCTCATCCTTATGTGTAATAACCTAACTGAAACTACATGTACTATGTTGAATAAATGTTCTAATCAAGAACCTCTACTAAAAGCTTAATAATAGAATATAAAAGTATAACAGACAATTTGAATAACCTAGTAATTCAAATAGCCTCGTCTAACCTGCTCCTCAGAATAACTTTCGGTTTCAGTTCTGCAAAGCCTGCAACTTCCTGTCAACTGCAACTTAGTCTTTCTGAAAGACACACACACACACTGTTTAAACATCTGAATGCAATATCAATGCTGCAGATTATATTACTAATGCAATAGTAATGATGATGATTATTTAACAATAGCAGTAAAATAATTTCCCTGCTCCACAATATACACTGAACAAAAATATAAACGCAACACTTTTGTTTTTGCTCCCATTCCCCATGGGATGGACGTAGAGACCTAAAATTCATTCCAGATACACAATATAACCATCCCTCCCAAACAGTGGTCACAAATCAGTCCAAATGTGTGGTAGTGGGCACATCTGCCATATTGCGATAATCCATCCCACCTCACAGGTGTGCCACATCAGGATGCTGATCTGACATCATGAGTAGTGCACAGGTGTACCTCAGACTGCCCACAACAAAAGGCCACCCTGGAATGTGCAGTTTTGTCTCACAGCAAAATGCCACAGATGCCACAAGCAATGAGGGAGCGTGCAATTGGCATGCTGACAGCAGGAATGTCAACCAGATCTGTCGCCCGTGCATTGAATGTTCATTTCTCAACCATAAGCCGTCTCCACAGGCGTTTCAGAGAATATGGCAGCACATCCAACC